AAATATATCTATTAATATGTTTGAACATACAAGGGGCAAAGTTATGAACACGTCTTTTAGTTTTTTTTCTTTTTAAAATTTATTGTGAATCAGGTGAAAGTTTACAGAGAAGATCATCATATTTGCATTTAAAAAATCATCACATAGAAAAAAAACAAAGAAATCATCACATGTCTTATCACCTCCAGGACTGCTATTCCACCAAGGTAACATCACTTATCCCAATTCCTACCTCATACTCCCTTGCTTTCCCTACCATTCTGAACTTTGTCCTTGAGTAACATTTTTAGTTCAAATGGTTGACTGTTCTGAGATGGGGGCATTTCACTAGTTGACCTAATTGTTTCTTGTTGAAAACTGAGTCACAGCTGAGTCCAGTTCAATTACTGAAGAGTGATCAAATCTCAGGTTTTCACCAGTCTCTATAGGATAGTGATTTTTGACACTGTATTTTGTCTTTGATAACTTCAAATTTTCTGAGATTTATACATTATTCCCCTGTCATCTCTGTGAAACTGGTAGTATACACATTATATTATCCCGAATAATAAAAAAATCACCATAAATCTTACAATAATAATCACTCAAAACTTATACAAAATACAAAAGGAAATACAAAAAAAAAAAAAAAATTCTGAATAGTCTGAGCTAACATCACTCATCTTTGACTTTACAAATGGTAAGACTGTTTGAAGTCCGTCCTGTGCAGAAATAAGGATAAAGCTTTTCTGTAAAGGTGTCATTGAATGTATAAATATGAGATCTAGTCGTCATATTATAAAATGAAATCTCTCCCAACTCATAATCCAGAAATACACCAATCTGCACAATTTGTACACTCTCATATGGGCCGTCTGTGTTACTCCACTGCTGAATTTGCCAGCATCCACCATTTGTTGATGCCAATGTAGTTGCATTTAGGGGAAAGGAATGATTACACACTCCTATGGCCCAATGACTTGTGCCTCTTACTTCAACCTGCCAGAAATGCCTTCCGGCATCAAATCCTTCAGAGCTCAGGACAGCGGGATAACCAGTGAATCTTCTGGGATTGAAAGATAAGTTTGTTTGCATCTTTCCATATCTCACGCTTTTTCTATCTTCTGATATGATGAGATTGGTGTGAGCTGTTTCAGGATCAAGTGTCAAGTCTACTTGAAATACTCTGATCATTTGTTCTAGGTTAAAGTGTTGTATAGGTAGATCCCATCTGTCCTCTGTAAACTCATATGAAAATACTGCTGGTGTCTTTAAGTTCTCGTACCTGTTATAGATGCTGTCAACATCTGTCAATAACTCCAGATCTGGCTGTACACACTTTTCTGTAATTTCACATAGCAGATTTTTTAGAGTGGAAATGTGATCTAAAAGTAAGGTTTTGTTTTCAATTAGTTTTTCCATAATGTCCTTCTCTTCCATCATTAAATTAAAAACATTGGCATCATGTTCCTCATGCAAAAACATCTTAACTTGCTCAAAGTCAAAGTTCAAATCACTTTTCTTATTTTCCATCTTCATCAACAACTCAATGTACTTTAAATCCTGTGTTTCTGACCCCTTTTCAGCAAGTTCAACTTGCTCCCTCAGAGGCTTCATGTAGCCTTTGAGCTTCCTCCTGTGTCTCGATGCAGCTTGGTCAATGGGCATCAGGTGATGATCCAGGTGTTGAGAGGACATCCTGCACCGGGGACACAACAGCTCCAGGTCCTTTTCACAGAAGAGGTCCAGCTGAAGATTGTGCTTATCACACAGAGGTTTCTCTTTCCTCTGGATGCTGTTGCTCCTTGTGGTGAGAAGTTGTTTAATAGTATCAAGCATATGAGACAGTTGATGATTTTTTCTGTAGTTCTTGTCAAGGCAGTGTTGGAGGCATTTGGGGCAGGGGAAGATGTCCTCTAGACCCTCCCAGCACTGCTGGATACAAGGAAAACAGAAATTGTGGCCACAGGAAATGGTCACTGGGTCTTTCAGGTAATCCAAGCAGATAGGACAGCTAGCTTCTGCTTGGAGGTCGGTCAGGGAGGCTGCAAAGGCCATTGTGCTGCCTGGAATTCAGAACGAAGGAACTTTTCAAGGGGTCTCTTTACCCAGAAGCTAGGCAAAAGAGTCCTTCAGTTTCCTACCTGAAGTGAGTTTCTAGGAATCAAGTGTCTCCTCAAAAGTGTTTCTGCCTCTCCCCACAGTTCTAGAGAGCTTTTCCAAAAGAAGTCACAAATCTCTCAGCCAGTTACTGATCTTCCACTGACCTTCTCCTGTGATATCCAACGTTGCTTTCTCCTTAAGGTCATCCATAGTGTCCTTTAGGTCTAGAAATAATTACAAATCCTGGTCACTCTATTATACTTGCGGACAGGAAATATTGGCAATTTAAAATTAATATAAAACAAACCTCACATAGTACTAACACTTCCATAGAATATTTAAGGAGTTAGAAACAAACAAGATGACCAATTTTGATTGGCCTAGATATTATCACCAATGACTCCTGTCTTATTCTGGCTACATTAAGGAATTAAAATAAAAAACAGTTAAAATTATCTCTATTTAGCCTTTGTTAAGTGTCATCATCTAGATTCTGATACATTACAAACCTTTTATAGGGATTCTCAGCAGGGTCTGGTTGGTTTGAACTCACACCTTAAAGTTAGCATTTTTATCCTACTGCCCCACACCTGGACTTCATATGCACATAGAAAAAGAGAGACTTACCTGGTGGGAACGGTTCATGAAAGAGGCTGGCATGTCCTCTATATGTTATGAATCAGGATGCAGGTTTCTCCTGACTCAGGTCAGGAGGGACACAGATCCCCAGGTCCAAACAAGCTTTCACAGGAACTGGAGGCGGAGAAATCTAAGATTGGTACGTCAGAATGGAAGACAAAGAACTAGATGTCAGATTATGATGAACTCGAGGAAGGACCCAGAATCAACAAAAAGGAAATTAACTTTGGTCTGCTTGTCCAATAATGTATATCTAATGCAGACTACAACTCCCTGGAAACTCCCTTTCCCTGATTGGTTGATCATTTGAGATCTCATCATGGAGTTAATTGGATTATACTTTTTCTTTTTAAAAAGTATGTGGGTTACCTCATATCAGATCATAAGATTAGTAATCTCTGTCAGGATTTAACTACCAAACTATTTCCTTTCTACCAAAATACTGATTATAGTGAGTTAGTTAAACTTGTTGCTAGTCAAATCCCAAGTTCACTGTGTGTGGAAAATTTAGGACTAAACAACAAGACCATTTATCATAGGTCTAGACCTAGTATGGCGTTGTGGTTTATTGTTCTGGAAGGCAAAGTCGGTTTGAACTGCAAGGTGAGTGGTTCAAGCTCACCAGCTGCAACTTGGATACCCTATACAGTGTCGCTATGGGCTCAAACCCAATCGGCAGCAGTTAATAATAACAGGTCATTATGGCGGAAAGTATGAGGCATTATGTTCCCCTAATGGTTTTCTGCTTCAGAAATTCTATACAGTATCGCTATGATTCCGAACTGACTCCACGGCACACCCCCTCCAGAGTCCTGGTGTGGAGCTGTAGGAAAATGCCCTGGATTGCAAGGTCAGTTTGATCTGCCAGGTCAGAGATTCAAACCCACCAGCCCCTTCTCAGAAACACTGTACAGGGTCTTTACGACTTGGAACCCACTCAATGGCACTTACAAAAACTATATACAGATCAGATGTGCACTGGTGGTGATTCTCTAAAGAAACCAGTATTAGACAGTAGTCATTAATGATAATGACCTGTTGTTAAGTGCCGTCAAACTCACAGAGATCCTCTATAGTAGTTCTGAGGAGCGAATGGTGGGCTTGAAGCTGACCTTGAGCTTAGCAGTCCAGTGGTTATCCTACATCACCATATCAGGACTATATGTATATATCTATATCTAAGGAGCTCTGGTAGCGTAGTGGTTACGAATCGGG